TCGTCGTCGTCGTCGTCGTCGTCGTCGGACTCCTCCTCGAGATCCGCGGCCGTGAAACTTTTCTTATCGTTGGCGCGCCGTCCTACGTGCGTTCTTGTACGGCCTTCAGACAGCAGCGAGACGGTCTCGCATGCCGGGAAACGGCCCGCGACTTTAATCCTCGCCACACTCGCTTTCGGGTTACCCGCGCCGGTAGACACAATCTCGGTAGACTCGGCCTGAGCCCCCCCGAGTAACTCGCCAAGACCGAGACACTGGCGAGCGCTCCGCGGCGTTGCCACACTTCCGTCGTCGCGGTGCACGCGCGATCAGAGTGGGGATTTCTGGACTGGTTCGGGTTTGGGATGGTAGAGAACATCGGGAGAGGACGCGAGAGCGGAGAAGGTGCCGTGGAGCGCGAGTCGCGGTGGGGTGCTGGCGGCGGCGGTGGCGGGTGGCGGCAGCGGCGGCGGTGGTAGCGGCGACGGCGGCGGCACCGACGGCTGCAGGGGCGGACGCATCCGCGAGAGTACGCGACAGTAACTTCCCGCTTCCCGCGATTCCATTTTAATCCGAAATGTACATCTGAATAGGGGAAATGCTGTCTAAAGGTAACTGAGTTGAAGTTTGATGTAGACTTGAAATTGTTACACGTAACGATGTCACATGTGACTCGTGTCACTGTCACGATTCGATCGACGTTGGACGATTTAGTTGATAAAATCGATTTTGCAATACTGTTGTTTTCAATTTATCGGCATAGCCTGATTATTATATAATTCGACAATATGTTTATCTTGTTCTTCCAAAATAAATAATATATCGATTTAGTCAGATTGCTCTGATTTGGATATCTCTGTCCGATTTCGATGCATCGATCAAGAGAAATAAGAATGACAGAATCTCCAACATTAAAATTCGGATTTACTATATAACTAAGGAAAAGTTCGTTTCTCTCTCGTTTGAAGATAATTGATTACTAATAATCTTTAGTGGAAGGCTATACGTTTTCCATAAAAGTTTTTAATCTCGTGATAAAGAATTAGCATTGTTTCGTGATCCATTGAATTCCATTTGAATTTGTCATTCCAAGCACATTCGATCAAGCGTCAATCGACATTGACGTTTTAATCTTTTAATTTTTGATGACTAGTCAAATCCTATTATCTCGATTAGCCGCGAAATTGATAGAGGAACCGCGGGTAGCTGAGATTCAGCGTTCGTTCCTGACGAGAGGAGGTTGGTGGCGTGGTGATGGTGGTGGTGGTGGTGGTGGCGGCGGCAGCGATCAGCGGTGGTGGAGAACGAGACGACCGGCGAGGACCGACGGCAGGAAGGGGAGGGTAGCGAGGGGAAGCGAAGCGAGGAAGTTATATTCGTTGAACCGGTAGAAGGGGTTTGATACCGCGCCGTCGGGGGGACGACGGTCTACACGGTGGGGCGGCCTTTCGGTGTAGGGGAACGATCGAGTGGCGGGGAACTGTCCGATCGCTTTTCCTCTCTCTCCTCCTTTCTCTCGGACCATCGCACTCTCCTGCTCCTGTCCTCCCCCTCGCCCCAGCCCCTCATCTCCCTACCTCACCACGCGATCCTCTCACACTCCCGGCGAGCCGACGTGTACCCCTCAATGCGCGCTGCGCCGTGATGCATCGCGCTGGCGGCGCGGCATCGCCTCTGCGAGTCACAAGGTATGCTCGTGCCGCGAATACGAACTGCCTCTCCCAAATCAATATCACTCGTCGAAAAAAAGGGGGAAAAAAGAAAGAAAGGAAAAAAAAGACGACTCGGCACCTATAATTGCCGAACTTCCGCGATAACCGTCTCCGCTCTCTGTCCCCAGTCTTGCCCGCCGATCGCCGACGCGAGAGAGCACCGCCGCCGTCGTCTTCTGCTACCCTCCCTCCCCCCGCCCTTGCGTCTCTCCACCCTCCGTCTCCTCTACTACTGCTTCCTCCACCTCGCGCGTTCCCACCCCGTTTCTCACGTGGGGTTAGGTTCACGCGCCAGGTTGATTAGGGCCTCCCTCCGCGGCGCGGCCCGCCGCGCGCTATCACGCACGTTTCCCGCCATCCAATGTCCGCGCACGATGATTTTCACTGACTATGCCCGCGACCTCGCAGCCACGTGCTCGCCTCACACTCGCGATGCCGCGCCGCGCGGCCGCGCGCGCCCGTCGCGAAAACAAAGAGGGCCGAGAGATGCGCTCCGCGAGAGCGGGCTGGTCCGCATGCTAAGGGACAGCTCGTCGTCGCTGGATGCTGGACGCGACGTATAATACGAGCGTGCCTACGCAAGCGTATGTACACGCGATATACATGTGACGCGGGCGACGTAAACGCGCGCCCGACTCGACTCGCCGCAGTCATATAGGTATGTGTTGGCTTGGGATGCAGAAGCATGTGGACTGTGGACTCGGGCCGCGTGCACAGCGAACAACGATAAGCCATAGGCTGGAGCGGACGCGTTCGCTAAAACTACAAGTCTCGATAACGCGTGATCTATCGATATCGCGATTTACGATAATACACGACGTTAATCCCTCATTTACGTAAAAGATGCCGTGCTGTATGGCACACGTGCATAGGTGCAAAATGAATTTTTGCCTCCTTTTGCCAATTTTGTTCAACCGGGAAAAAAAAACTAAATTAATCCCAGAAGTAAAGTTTTTAGACAAACAACAGATCGATGAATACTCAATGTTGACGGAAGGAGGACCCGACCACGTTCTTACGTAAGCTCCGTAAGATTCTCGAGACACTGATGATATCTCGAGCTTGTCGAGCGGTTGTTCTCGCGAAGCTGAAAGAAACATGGAAATTCATGAGCAAGTCGACGATACTTTACAATGCATCGTTGTACTGACCCGATTACAACTTATCGCTTGCTGTAATGCGCCGCGAGATAACCACTCGAACCGAGTGAAGTGAACTTATAAGCTATGGGTTCGCGAAGGATTGGATCGCGCCTCATTGTGAACTTCTAAAAATGATTTCGACGCGAATGCATGCTGTATCAATTGCGCTGT